TTCCACTGGCTGAAACCAAAGTGAACCCAATTGCCCTTAATTGGAAAAGACATAAAGTAAATTTGAAAAAATAAAATAGATATTAAGCATAAGGCCGGCTATGTACAGGAAATCAACGAGATAAATATGGGAATAAAACATAAGCCTTATTCTCGGTTCAGAATACCACATCGAATCAATCGTTCCAAAGTGCTGGGCCGAATGTAGCGCATATAAGCTTTGGGATCGATCTTCTGCTCCCCAGTGTCTTTATTGTCATCCGAGTATTTGTCCTTGAATGAGCCATGCGAAGTGCGATTTTTTAAATTTAATGAAGTAGATGATGATTGTAATGAAGAAGATTGAGTTGAGCAAGTGGCCGAGGACTCATTTGAGTTCAAATTGTGAAGAACTTCAACTTTCAAAGGGGATGCTGTCCTGAGGACAGGGGCACTTGGATCGATGCTACGACCTCGGCTTAAGCTCCTAGAATAGGAATCGCGAGAAATGATGTTGACAGCACTGCTATTTTTCATAGTAGTCATAAGTGTGGAAGACATTGATTTCCCGGTTGAGATATTTCCCCTATGTGGCCCAATCAGAGGAGCCGATAAAACTGCCGAAGTCGTTTTTACCACAGGAGCTGGGATTTGAGCATTGGCGCAGGAGAGATTAGTCAAGGATCGCAGATTAGATAAAGAGGATAGCAAAGAATTCGGGGACTTAGCTGGTAATTTTATTGGAGAGCCAGAACCACCCGTGCTGATGACCGGTAATGGTAAGCCGTTCTTCCAGACAACTGGGCCATTGACGACTATTTTAACAATTTGAAGCAGAAAAAGGAAAACGAAGATTGTATAAATATAATAGATAAGGCTATGAGTAAAGTTGCAAGAACCATCAATTTAAATCAATAATACAATATTAGAATAGAAGTGGGTTGACCTCGTTGTCGCAACTTGGTATTGTTCTCAGGGAGACCCACTTCTATCAATCGAAAGGAGACTGCGATCACACCAGAGGCCACAACATCTTGGTCTTCATATATTCAATATTAGAATAGTCCGTCTTTTTTAAGGGCATAGAAACACAATAACTTCGTCCTCAAAACTTGGTCGTGCGATCAAGGAGGCTGCGAAAAATATACCCCAGTCAAAATCCGATGCTTAAAATTTTCATGACTAATATGGAAGAGAACGGAGGACCGGGTGCGTTCTTCGAGATCTTGCTGATGAATCGATGCATTTGTGAAAGCGAGGCCAAACCACTTCCATTAGTATGAATGTTAAATGTAGTACCATGCATTTAAGTCGAGGAAATTAAATTAATTATTTTTATTTATTTATTTAGTTCATCAAAATTCGAGAATAGTATGTTTTCGCAGAATATAAAGCAAAAATAAGCAATAATCATCAAATAGAAGTAGTTTGACCTTGTTTCCGCAACTTGGTCATAATGGTAGGAAGATTTATAGAAACGCACCTTGTCATGAGTCCATTGTATGCATAATTATTTCGAGAGTCGGAACGTGGACGTAGTACATTCCCAGACGTTTCGCCGGCATCGTCATTGAGTTTCACCATTCGTAGCACTATATTACAACGCGTCAGAGACAAGTGAAGCGGACCCTTTGACCAATCGTGTGCTAAACAGTTAGTCACCCTACGTCTGGGTGACTACTTCAAGGCTCAAGCCTGTGAGTAAGTGTCATGGTCAGGCCTTTGCCACATGAACCACGTCTCTTATAAAAACTA